TGCTGCCTGCATAGGACAGCCCCAGCAGGGAGGCTGGAACAGTGGCAGCAAGGCTCCCAGCAGCATGCACAATGAGTGGTGACCCCCATCTCTGACTGAGGATGCAGGCAGGTGGCTGATTTATGGCCAAGGCAAGATAGGGGTCTCTCTGAGTTAAGCTGTAGGCGAGTTGCCATGGAGATGGGCTAATAAAGCACCAGGCACAGCTGGCTCTGATGCTGCTATGGTTGCAAGGAGTGGGTGGGTGGGGAGAAGGGGCAGGTGGCCTGGTGGGGATGGAGAGTAAGAACAGGGTAGCACCTGGAGAGTGGGGCAGGAGTTAGGTGTGTAGGGCTGTTGAGATGGCCCTGGGTGCTTTGAGAGAGGAAGGGGTGATGGGAGAAGAGATCCCCCTTCTTCCAGCTCTTTGGGAGGGGCGGGTGTCAGCATGGTGCTCCTTGGTGGTGAGTGGGACCAGCAACTTTCGGGAAAGAGGTTGGACCCCTATGCAGCCAGTGTATCTTTTGTTCTGGTCTCCTGCCTCCATCAACCACCTGTCTGCTGAATGACTGTAGGCTGGCTGCTTCCCCTGGCAGCCTGAGAGGGCCTCAGAGTGGGTCTGGATATCAGCTTGCAGAGGCCACCTCATGCAGGACTGGTGCAAAGGACTCTGCTGTGCTCAGGGTTAGCTTATGTGTGGGGAAAACAGGACCTGCTCCATGCCAAGGCGGGTGCCTGCACATAAGGTGGTCAGGACCTTTCTAACTGCAGTGCCCTCCCTGTGCTGATGACCCTTCAGCCTCAGAGCAGGTCTGCACCACCCAGTGCCCCCGGGGCGCTGTGTGTTACCAGGGCATGTCTCCCTCAGCATGCTGCCCTTCTGCCTTTCAGCACTAGGGAAGGTCACCTGTTCCCTGGCTCAGTCCTCCATCCCAGCCATTGAAACATAATTGCAGCCAGCTCCCTTGGATGCCGAGTATGGGTGTTGGATGGGGATGAATGGGGATGGCATGGACTTGCCTCCAAAGAGGTGGGTGTACTGGAGCTGTGCTGCACATCCCTAAGCTCTTGCTCCAGCCTGCACCTTCAGAAAGGACCCTCCTGCTTTGCTATACTAGGGGTTAAGTCTGCAATCCCATTCAGTTCAAGAGCACTGTAGCGTGGACCTAAAACTAAGCATACTTTTATTCTGGCTAGTTGAGCAGGGTGATGGGAGGGAAAGGCTTAGCTAATTAGTCGCAAGATATTCCCAGGCTGCTGTACTTCCATTTTGAGAGATTACTCTTCAGTAATATGGTGACAGCCATATTTTAACCTTGATCACCATAGGAAGGGTTTTGCCTCAAAGCCATCTCCTCCAGAGTGTGCCAGAGTTCAGGTAGGTGTTCCAGCAGGTAAAGGAGAGTGGGGTGGGGGGGAGGGAGGTTATATATTTTAAGATGGAAATAAAAAGCCTTATGATGGAGTGATGCATTAAAAGATAATTGCTTACAGGTTTCACAAGGTGTTTTTATGCCTCCTAAATTGATGGATGTATCCTCAGAGACTGATGCTCTTAGTGGAGGGTTACCTTTCCTTCTGAACAGAGCAGAGATCCGAGAGAATTCCAGCTAGTTTAATGCCAACTACTGATAACACTACCCCCACCCCCCAAAGGAAAGGTTGCCTAAAGCTGGACTTCTTGAGCTAGCTAATGCCGCCTTCTCTGGCCAAAGCCTCTCCCCGCCCCCCGACAGCATCCACTGTTGTTCAAAGCCATCCTGTATACTGCTGAACAGCCCTTGTGTCTTTAACTCTGTCATCATGCACTAGCCAGATGGTAGGAGTACTCCCCTCCCTTATGGGTCAGTTGGCTTTTGGCACTGGCTGGGATGAAGGAGGACTTCCACTGCCTCCATCGTTAACAGGGCCTCCCTTGATGTCTCTGCAGGGCTAGCTGGTGGGGTGAGCCAGCCAGCCCTTATTATTGCAGCCAAACCATAAGGGGCACAGATCATGCAAAGCTTTGGAGTCTGTCTGGTGTGGCCTCTATAATCCAGGAAGGATTTGACTGGTGGAGTTTTTGCTTATTGCTCTTTGGTACCTAGAAGCAGGCCTTGCTGTGGTGCACAGGTGCCTGCTCTGCCAAAGATTTGCATGAGCTGATATGGTGTGGATCAGCACATCTGGAGGGACAGAAAGGGTTGCAATGTGCATGTCCACTGACCTCATTTAGGGTGCTTTTTAGGTGCTGTATCTCTTGCTCTGCTCTTAGCAACTCACTGTTCATGTGGTTATGCCCTTGTAATTCCTTACCTTGTGCTTTCTTTCCTGTCTGACCCCAATTATGGCCATTTCCCCCACCTTTGTAAGGAGAACTTGGTGTGTGGTGTGGCTGCAAGGGGAGAGATTTAATTTGATTTTTAGATTCTTGGAAAAACTTTTTCAATAAAGGGCCTTGTGCCCAAGACTATTTCAGGCTGCTGGCAGTGTCAGATGAGACCTCTGAGCTGAGGAGGCAGTCTTTGGAGAAGGCATCTCAGAGTGGAGTGAGATATGTTGCTCCTGGGGGGGAAGTCTGTATGGCTGTTGCTCATGGATGAACAGGCCTCGAGAGAAGCATGGTTTCCATTGCCTGTGACTATTGCTAGTACTACTTAAATCTGTAAATCTTGGAATGTTCTTCAGTATGAACCATTTAAAATCCTGAGTCATTTCTGTCTCCGGGTATGCTTCTCGCTGATTCTGTTTCATGCCTGTTGTTTTATCCAAGGCAGTTCATGCCAGCAGCTGAGTCAGTTTGGAAAGGAGGAAGAACAAGTATTAGGGCCTCTTCTGCTCCCAGCCTCCAAGCAACCAATGTTCTTGAGTTAGCCAGGTCCTGCGTCTGGTCCCACCTCTGGGCATGATCATCTTGGTGATATTATCCAATGGAGTGTCACCTTCCAGTGGGAAGATGGTGGACCAGATCCTTGGGGCTTTTAGCCAAGTGAATGGCTGTGCCTTGGGACTCCCTCTGAGCTCTTCCCTGTTCCCTTGCCAACACTCGTGTTCACAAGCATATAAATCAGGAATGGAAGGTGTGCCTTGGAGGAAACTTAGACGTAAGCAGAAATTCAATGTGAATAAGTATGGCCAACCTGTGTTACTCACAGGACTCTTCCTTAGCTGACCGTGCTTTGAGTAGGAGGTTGGACTAGATGTCCTGAAATCTCTTCCAGTGCGAATTTTCTTATGATCCTATGATTTGCCCCAGTTGTGGAGACCAGCAAAAAAGCTCCTCTGCTAGCATGCACACACAGCTCTCTTCTTGAGTGATGCTTTAGATTATGGCAAGAGGAATTCAATGCAGAAACAGACTTTTTAAAATGGGAACAGCCCCACACCATGCACTGGTTGCTGTCATTCATGTATGAGCAGTCTAAGGACAATTAAAATGTCAGCTGTCCACATGAGATCTCAAAAGTAAGGTCCCTGCAGCTCATGCAAAATATCTTTCAGAGACCAGAAAATAACAACTTGAAGGCCTGGTTGCTGAAGCTTCAAAATTGTCCTGTGAGTATTTAATCTCTGTTGGCTAGGGTTGGATGTGGTGTTGAGGGCTGGAGAAACTTATCTTGATTACATATGGTTTGTGGTAGCCACAAAGTTTCTGTAAGAGAGCCAAGTGTTGCAGTAACAGTAAGGACTCTTCCTCCTCTGGTCTAAGAGATGTCAGATTTGATTGTGGGGTCACTGTGTTGGACTAAGCTCAGTTTTTGCATAGGATGTTGGTCTTCAGATCTTGTGAGGCTCGTCAGGTCTTGCCTATGGCCCCTATCCAGCAGAGGAAAGCAGAACTCTACTGGCATTTGAACTGCTGCTAACAGATATGTCTGGATACCTGGATTAGTAAAGACCATGCTCAGATCATAAGGAGTTGAAATTTTGCTTTGAAGGAGAGCCTGTATTCTCTTCCTACTGTCCAGAAACAAGTCATACTGAATGCTCCTGTCTCACCAAAGTTGGGATGGCTGTGGTCTGTAGTGATAAGGTAGAACAGTGATTACCCCAACTTTCTCCTGGAAGCAAGAACTGGGTCATTTTCTGATATCAAAATGCAGAGAACTGACAGTTAAACTGGATTTAATCACTCATGCCTTGAGGGCCCTTGCCCTGAAGTATGTTTGCATGTTATTTTAAGTATTCAAAACCAAGAATATTTTAGAGGAATTTTGGGGTGGTCAGTAATGCCTGCAGTTATGATCCTTCATCTCATCCTGCATCCTCAGTGATGGAGGAATGGTTATGTACCTCGGAGTCACAGCTGCAGCTGAGTCTTGCAGTGCGTGTGTAACAAGGAGAGCTCTGCAGGGACAATATATTTTGTGTGCGCCTTACTGTCAGCTTTCGCCTTCCCAGCTTCACTGTTGTGTGGCTCCGCAAAACCTCCAAAGCCCAGCCAGCTCTGTCCAGTGCATCTTGCATCGCCCTTCCTCTGGGGTCCCTGCACTGCTACACTGAATCTGTCCTTGTTTTCACTGCCTACTCCTTGCTGCGTTTTAACCTCTTCCTCCTGCCCCCTTCTCCACATTTGTTTTCCTCCCTGTGCTGTTTTATTGTGATATAAACCTCGGCAATTCCAAGTTGCAAGCCAAACTTCCCTGCCCTGCCAGCAGACCCGGGATTCAGCCAGGCCTTGCAGCGAGGAGGCAGGTTGGCAGGAGCTGGGGTGCAGCACACCCCTTGGGGTGCTGGCCACCTCCTTGCAGAGCACCAGTGCCTTGGGGAGCTCCTCCCTTCAACAGGTAGACGTTGGGAGCAGCCAGCCTTGCTCTGCTCAGCCTCCTGCACGGAAAGGATAGCGGGGGCTGCCGCGGTGCTGTGAGGCCGGGGTTTGGCGGAGGGCCCCAGGGCATCGCTTGGGGTGGTGGCCCCAACCCCGGGCAGGGAGGGCGGCAGCACCCCGTCCCCGCCGCCCGCGCTGTGGGGAGGGCAGCTCCGCACAAAGCGGGTGGGTAAACCCTCCTCCGGGGCGCGGGGAGGAGGAGGAAGGCGGGGGGATGCTGCTTCCCTCCCTCTCTCTCCTCCTCCCTCGCCGCGGCCGGAGGAGCGCGCAGGCGGCGGCTGGCAGCCCCGGGCGGCACGGCGGAC